ATCAAAAATATCAAGAGGAGAAAAAAATCGAAGCCTTTTATCAACAAAAAACTAAGGAAATCCGCCAAGAGCAGAAGTTTATCAGCCTCCATTTTCCGGATTTCTTCGGCTCGGGTTTCCTGTTCTTTTTTTAATTGATTTTCTTTTTTCTTCAGTTCTTCTTCATTTTTCCGTTTAACTTCTAAGATTTCAGCTTCAATGCGGGCTTTTTCATCATTGGCTTTTTTCTCGATTAACTGTCTTTCTTCCTCATCTTCGAGAGCAATAGCCGCTAATTTCTTTTGCTTTTCTTCCTCGATTAAACGGGATTGTTTGACTAATCGTTCTTGCTCCTCTTTATTCTCTTTTTCCATTTTCTCAATTTGGTCTTTCTTCTTTTGTTCTTCTAGTTCATTTTCTTTTTTCTTATTTTCTAAGGAGGTTTCAATGGCTTTCTTCCGTTCAGCAATATTTTTGCTTTTGGTAGAGAAGTAAGCATCTTGTTCTGCTTGGAGGGCTTTTTCGCGGGCTAACCTAGCTTCTTCGCGTTTTTTTTCTTCCGCTTCGACTAATTCTCTTTCTTCTTGTCTTCTTTCCTCGGCTTCTTTAAGTTTTCGGTCTTTTTCGGATAACTTGCTTGCTCTTCTTAATCTTTCTTGTTCTTGAAGTTTTTTTTGAGCTTCTTCCCTTTCTAGTTTCTTTTTCATTCTTTTGGCTTCTTCTTCATTTAAGTTGGCAAATAAATCATCGTAACGGGAACTGGTGGATTGAGATGGTTCAGAGATGGAGGTTTCTGATAAATCTTCCTCTTCTTGGTTTGGTCTTCAATTTCCTAAGGCTTGGTTAATTTGTTCTTGAACTAATTCTTTTAAATTTAAACTCTTAACCACTTCTCTTTGTCCGGAACTTTGGGAAGAGACAAATCTTTCTCAGATAGTTTCATCAATGGTTATTTCTTGATTTTTTAAACTATTTAAATATTTTTGATATTCTTCCTTTAACCAGTTATTTTCACTTAAAAACTCTTGTCAATCACGGTTAGCAAAGATGCGAACACTAAATACTAGCAATTCAAAGAAATTATATTTAGGAACGGTTTTAAAGCCACAAGTTAATAGGATATCCCTTTGTCAATCAGATAAATACTCTCTTGATACTCATTCATCCAAATTATAACTTAAAGCTCATAGTATGTAACCTCTGTTAGCCACTTTCCATAGAGAACGTAAAATAGATAATTTGTTTTCTTTTATTTTTTTCTCGGCAAGTTTCTTTTGTCTAGTTTCTGCTTTGGCTCGGATTATCCTTTGTTCTCCTTTTAAAAATTTTTCTTTTAAAGGTAAATAAGAACTCTTGCTTTTGCCAAACTGAGTATGCGGATCAGGAATTATCTCTTCTTGAACTAAAAAGGTCTGATTAACCGGTTTTAGGTTTAATTGTTTTAAAAGGGATAAACTCTCTTCCGAATACTTATCCTCTCTAGTTAAGGGGGCTAAACTATTTAAAATATTCTTTTGTTGTCCAGTTAAAGGAAAAGTCTTAAAAGTATCAGGATGGACTTCTTTTAATTGTTCGGCTTGTTCCTCAGTTAGTTTTAGCTTATTGCAGCCAAAGTCTAATAAATGTTGTTTCTGTTCTTCGGTTACTTCTCATTCGGCTGCATTATAAGGTTTAATGCCCATATTTTCTAAGGAATTTCTTTGTTCTTCGGTCAGATTAAGAGTATTCATTAAGAAGCGGAGAATATTTTCTTTTTCTTTGGTGGATAAGCCGAAGAGGTATTGCTCTTGGTGAAGAGAATTATTTAACTTGACAAATTTATCTTTCTTTTGGTAAGTATCTATTCCTAAACCATTCAAACCACTACTAATTAAGGCTAATTTTTGGGATAAAGGGAAAGTGAGGAAGTTTTGATTAATAACTTCTCGGTCTTCGGAAGTTAAATAAGGGGTTTTGTTGGAAATAGCCAATAATTGTTCCAAGGATAACTGTAATTGACTTAACAAATTAGTTTCTTCTTCATTAGGAGCAGGCAATTTAGTTAAACGAGAAGAGAGTTTGGGTTGGTCTTTTTCTAACCTTGCCAACCATTGATCAGTTTTTTCGAATTCTTTTAGTAAAATTGATTGTCCTTTAAATTCAGGATATTTTTCTTGAATTATTCGTCAAGACATTGGTGGTTCTTTTAATTGCTCTTGGGCTTGTGCTAAATTATCTTTTAACTGTTGCTCTATTTCAGCAGCCTTTTGTAAAGTTTCGGTTTGCTGTTGAATTTCAGTCTCTTTTTGCTGAGTAATTTCTTGCTCCTGAATAATTTGTCCCAAGTTATCTATTTCTTGAAATCTGGCTTCACTGCGGCTAGCCAAAGGATTATTAGCCATCATTTTTCCAGTTCAAGTATTTTCATCCCACTTTATTTCTTGTTTGGCTCATTGTTCTTCGGTAATCTTCTGCTCTTGGCGGATTTCCTTAGTTTTTTGTTGATAAAAGGCTTCGATTTTTTTCTCCTCTTGATATTTTTGAT